AGGGGAGGCCAAGTATTGGGAGGTTCTGGAAGGGCTGACCTGGGGACCTGGGCAGAAGAGCCTCTCTAAGCTTCTAGGTCAAGGAGAAAAGCCTTGCCAAGCCAGTGAAGTGCCCTGCCCAAAGACTGGGCAAATGGGCTCTGGAGGGTTGGCCCTGTAGCCCAGTGGGAGGAGGGAAAGAGGGCCTGGCATTTGTCCCAGAGGAGGGACAGACCAGGGAATTCACAAAGGCCATCTCTGCATTAGTCAGGGACTTAAGGCAGCAGGGAAGGAAGTATTTGCCTTATAACACAAACCACTGACGGGCTCCCCTCCCTCTCCCTGGAGTCTGAGAAATCAAGGGCAGTCACATGGAGAAGGAACATTTTTTTTTTCCACTTCCCAAGTGGGGGTACAGTCCCCTCCAGTGGCAGTTCATTAATGGTGGGGTGATTCAGGCCTTTGCCCTGATAGGGGGGATGCTGCAGGAGCACCAGACTTAACTCTATAGCTTAGGAACTTGGTGATCTGGAACAAGTTGCTTCGACTTTTGAATTTAAGTTTTTCATTTGTGAAATGTGGGTGACAGTAGGTTTTGACAAGGCACAGAACCCTTAGTCTACGACCAAGCACAAGGATGGAGCTCAGCGAGTTACCCTTCTGCTCCTTTTCCCTTTCTGCCAGGACATTCCTGCCAGGCCTCCCGGTGTCTCATCCGAGGATGGCGGAGCGGCAGGGCCAGGAGCCTGAGTGCCCTGTCTGCTGGAACCCCTTCAACAACACATTTCACACCCCCAAAGTGCTGGACTGTTGTCACTCCTTCTGTGTGGAATGCCTTGCCCACCTCAGCCTGGTAACTCCAGCCCGGCGCCGGCTGCTGTGCCCACTCTGTCGCCAGCCCACTGTGCTGGCCTCTGGGCAGCCAGTCACTGACTTGCCCACAGATACCGCCGTGCTCACCCTGCTTCGCCTGGAGCCCCACCACGTCATCCTGGAAGGCCACCAGCTCTGTCTCAAGGACCAGCCCAAGAGCCGCTACTTCCTGCGCCAGCCCCGGGTCTATACGCTGGACCTCGGCCCTGAGCCTGGGAGCCAAACGGGAGCCCCCCAGGATGTGGGCCCTACCACCAGGTCTCTGCCCATTCCCATCCCCAGCCACTACTCTCTGAGGGAGTGTTTCCGCAACCCTCAGTTCCGGATCTTTTCTTACCTGATGGCTGTTATCCTCAGTGTCACTCTGTTGCTCATCTTCTCCATCTTTTGGACCAACCAATTCCTTTGGGGTGTGGCGTGAGCACTGTTTCTGGGCAAGGAACCACGCCTTTAAAAAAATTGTGTGTTTTTTTTAAAATTCTTATTATTTTAAGTAGGCTCCATGCCCAGCGTGGAGCCCAACACGGGTGAACTCACAACCCCATGATCAAGACCCGAGCAATCAAGAGTCACACACTTAACTGACTGAGCCACCCAAGAGCCCTGGATCTAAGCCTTTCTTGACTGCTGCTGGGGATGGGGACTGCACAGCCTCATTTGGGGTTGTCTTCCTTTGTTGTATTGTTCATTTTTACAGTCTATCAGTTAGTCCACATGTTTGCTTCTGCAAACAGATCCCTACTATGATGAGAACCTCTGAAAACTAAAAGGCTGGGAAAATATGTGACGAGACCTCTAGGTGTGAGCCACGGGGCCAAGAAGGGCAGAGAAGCATATCTTTGATTATAGGGCTACGGAACCAGTTGTGCCAAAGGGCTGGACCACGGTATCCAGGAGCCCGACTAGCCCAGAGAGAAAGTTGTGTTTCTCAATGGAGTTGCTTTGAACTCCGTTCACATTTGAGTTGCTCTTTTTAATAGGTGTTGCTAAAATTTTGTTAAGTGAGCTTCAATTCTGTGAGCAAATGTGCATACCTTCTTTCAGTTTTCTCTTTGGAAGTCTTGCCACCAGTCCCAGGAAAAAATGGTGTGCATTCATGAATTCACGCACTTACTCGTTCTACCACCATTTACTCATTCTACCACCACTTACTCGGCCCAGGTTATGTCAGAACTAGGGGAAGAGAAGGGTGGGATTATCCATGGGTGACAGAGAGCCTTTACCAGCAAGGGGGGCTGCTTCTTGTAGAAGACAATCTCTTGTCAGTATGTGGTTTATGGAGTGTTGAGAATATAAAAGTGTAAAGGTGAAAAGAAACCAGGGTCAGTGAATCAAAAGAAATCTGGGATTTGGAGAAAAGGTGTTGGCTGGTAGGTGCAGAGGCCCCAAGTAAGCCTGGATGTTGGGTAGAGTCAACTCCCCTCCTCCAGGCAATGGAATTCTGACCTTGAGAGATAAAGCAGAAGCCCTGGACAGCGAAAAAGCCTTAGCTTCCATCCCAGGCCATGCAGACAGGGGACCCTGGTCTTCATTTTACGTGACAGAATCTTAGAACCAAGGCAAACTAGATGCTTCAGCTGTTTGGCTACAAGTTGCTATCTCTGCATTGTCTAAAACCCCTTCTGCTTTCCCAGTTTTAATACTGCCCTGTGGCCCACGGCTTTGGAACAGTCTCAAAGTGGTTAAAACACCATCACAATGATGAAAAGATCTTGATTTGTGGAATAAACTTTCAGAGGTCAGAAACGGAGTTGGTTTTATTTGTTCTAAAAATTTTGTGCTTCACGGAACTAGCTTCTATAAATTCTTAAGGGATCTTAATGCACAAAATATTCCAAAATAGCCAAGACCTGTATTTCATGTTTCCTAAGACCACATGGTGTTATGCACCAACATGAAGAAAATTCTCCATTACAAAACTGGAATGCCACCCTATGTACCCCGCCAGGGGACTGACACCTACCTCTCCATTTGCGCCATCAAAGATAATTACACTAAAGCTGGGACTCAACCTCTCTCTGCTGATTTCTTTACACATCGTTGCTCCTTAACATCGTGGCAAGTAAATTAGGCAATGATCTCCCTATGTTCTCTGGGCCATGAGAGGGAGAGGAGCCGGGGGAAGCTCAGGAAGAAACACCTGCCGCTGCAGTAGAGCTTACTGCTCTGAGTTAAGGAAACTTCATCCCTATTCTGCAGGTGAACCTGAGGCTCCACAGGTTTTGCTGTCTCATTCCAGCTCACCAGCCAGTTAAGTGGTGGGGGCCTTTTAGTCCAAGTAGAATTGGGGAGTGGCTCTTGGAGTGGCTAGTACACCATCCAAATAGGTTAAGATATAGGTTTGAGTTTTTTGGGGGTAGGGAAGGATATGCTCAACAGTAGGGTGTCTTCTATTTTTACCTTCAGTAGTTCTAACCTTGGGGCATGCAAAAATGTCTGGAAGCATCTTTGGTGTTCCAATGACAGGGGTGGGTTGTGCTTCTGACTTTTATTACTCTATAGGTCAGGGATGGTGAGACATGCTGCAATGCTTAAGACAGCTCCACACAACAAAACATCTATCCCAAGATGCAAAGTTTCCTGCTGAGTGACACTACAGGCACCTTATTAGCTCATGAGGTAGAGGTGGTGAAATCCCATGACTCCCTTTGGCATGAAGTCAGACTGAGATGCAGTGACTCATCACAAGGGAGGTGTCACAGGTAGAGGGGCTAAAAAGCTCTGGCTTTGTATGAGAAACAGGCCATATTGGCTGGACTGGTCATTCTGTCTGGCCAGTGCTGCCAACATACTCAGTAAATCCCTATGAAATCTCTTCCTAAGGTCACAGACACACAGACAGACCAGGCTCCATCACTCACTGACAGGGTAACCCTGAGCAAGTTACTTAACTTCTCTGAGCTTAGATTTTGTCTGTAAAAAGGGAATACGACTTAACTCAGAAGATTGGGAGGATTAAATGAAGTGTCTGAACATGGCTGGCAAAGTCTCTAGGCAGGAAGTGTCCTTTTAAGTGGTGGCTCTGATTCTCACCATTATTATGAAACACTATATTTGGTTTATGCTTCTCAGCTGCCTCCTTACAATGAAGTAATGTATATTCCACAAGGGAACTGTTTGGCCAAAAGCTTACATGAAATGTGTTCACCTGATTGCTACCTCTAAATCTCTTGGAACAACCACACACACACAAAAAAAAGTTCAACAGAATAGTAAAATTTAAACTTGAAAAACTCAAAACCTTTGTTAATACACTATATCCAGATTGCATGCTAATACACTAATGTTAATTATTACTTTACACATACTACAAAAGTTAGTAATGAAAAATTATTTTTCACGGCCAACTATGGAGGAAATAAAACCCATTAATACTTAAACAATAACGAAGTGCCAAATGCACAACAGGGGGCAGAGCCCATAATTCAGAAGCTTAACCAGCACTCAAAATATGCAACTATTTGGTTATAATTAAAATTAGACATAAGAATATCACACATTCATAGGTTGCAGGATAGAGTTACTAGACAAAGCCACTGTCAGCCTCTCTGGAACAGCAAATGAAGTGTTTTGAACATTCAAGGAAAAGCCATCATATAAGCCCTTCTCCATTTCTCTATATGCAATCCTTTCTTCTTCCAAATTCCTGTATTTTTGTCAGAATTTACTGTGTACTTCGTGTTCAGTGGTTGTGTATCTGGGGTGGAAAGAGGTGAAGGTGACTGCTGCACAGCCAATGAGTATGAATTACAGAGTCCAGACCCAGTTTGCTAATAGTCTGGCCCACAAGGCAGTAGTCTCTACAAAAAACAAAAACAAAAACAAAAACTATTAGCAGAGTGCTTAAGAAGAGAAAAACTGGAATAAGCTATATCTGGTATCATCCATTATATCTCAAACAAAAAAAAAGGGGGGGAGAACGCTATGGACCAATGGCTGGGATTCAGAAAATGCCTAACTATACAAAGTAAGTCTTTAAAGGACATTTTTTATAATAGGATTTTACTCTGTAGCAAGTGTGTAATAAAGAAAAAAAGAAAGTTGATGTTGACGAATACCCATGAGGGATTTTTCCCAGTTACCTTGCCATGAAAGGTACATCCTCTTAATAACCAATACAAAGGAGGTGGCACAACAGAGACTTCATGTTTGCTTTCCAGAAATTTCATTGCCTCTTGACACAATGGCCTAGCTTTGGGGTAACACAAAGGATGCCAAACTTCAAAGCAAAATGGAAGACATTTTCGGACAGGGCAAATGTTCAGTTCTGAGTTTCCTGATGTGGTTAGCATTCCAAGCAAACTCAACAGGAAGAGGTAAAATCTTCTTTACTGCATAACCCTGAGCATAGCTGTGGTCCACCTCTTCATCTCCTGTTCTAAAGGCAGAGGAAAGGTTTGCACTCTGTCAAGGCACTGGTTAACCAGGTGTGTGGTGAGAAGTGCCTCTTTACTCGAGGGCTTCCAGACTATAGTGCAGCTGCTTGCTCTGTGGGTCACATATAGTCCTGAGGCACATACCACGTAATGGAAAGCCAAGTTTCAAAATTAAAAATGGAGCCAGTCACAATCCTGAGTGCTGTGAAGGAGGCAATAGGGCATTCAAACAAAAGATTAATAAAAACAAGGTCTACACAGTCCGTAGCAGGGCTTGAAGATGAAAATAAAAATTTCAACTACAAAAGGGGTTCATCAACCCCAGAGACTGGGCTGCCTACCTGGAGTGGAGGCTGACATGGAAATCCAATTCTTCTGAGGGTCTATACAATGTAATTGGCAAAAAACATGATAGAACAAAACATATCAATTCCTTTCTTTTGAAAATGGCTCTTAGGGAAGAGCTTGAGGTTAGAGTCCTTTTTCCATGGTCCTGCCTATTCAGCCATCCAGAGCTTGAAGGTCCTGTCATACGAGCAAGTGGCTATGAGCTGCCCATCAGAAGAAATGTCTAGGCCCATCACTTTGCCTTCATGGCCAGCCAGAGTCTTCAGTGGCGACCAGCCTGGGTGGGTCCAGATCTTGGCGGTGTTATCATAAGCACCAGTGAGCAAGAAATTCCCATGGATAGCTTTAAGAGAAAAGAACGGGAGCTGCTTGAGGAATTCAAGTATCAAAAGAGGAAAGAAAATAAAAGCACAAAAATCTGCTAGAATATACGATTTCAAAAAAGAAGATATTTCTCCATTTGGAAAAGCCCAATATTCTCATCTACATTTCTACAAGACCTCCAGGAAAAAGGGACTACACACTTAGGGAAACAAATAACATTATTAAGGTCTTCTGGCTCTTTCCCTGACAGTCTTTTTAGAATAACATTAAGGAGTCAGTGCTTACAACTTTCAGGAGGAAAAAAGCACTTATGGAAGTCGTCTTTACTTACTAAAACAAGAAGCGTGCTGTGCCATAGCTCTATCTGAAAATATGGTAGAAGGAAGGAACTTATAATTTGCTCCTTTTTCAACACAGACCGAATTCTCTCTTGTTCCACTTGTAATTTAACCTAAAGCCTGGCCCGCATTCCATGGAAGTTCAATCTAGCTGTCCTGTGATTAGGCAAAACAGGAGGAAAGCTTACGCTCAAACTTGACACCAGTCACTAAGTTCTGATGGGCAGGGATGGTATAGACACAACGCCGCTGCCGAAGGTCCCACACTTTGCACGTGTTGTCACCACTGCCAGTTGCTATGTGGTACCTGTGGATCAGATAGAGTGTCCGAATTAGAAACAAAGATACATTCTTTGTATGTATCAATCAATCAATGAGTTCATTTTACCCATTGGGGGAGAAATTTATTCCATAGATTTCCTTCAGGTGGCCTTCTAAGAACATGATACACCGTCCTGTGCGCAGGTCCCAAACACGACCAAATGCATCCAGTCCCCTGACAAAATAATTTATAAATGAACATTCTGAATCCATTTCTTCTGGAAGCAGGGATACATAATAGGTGAACTACTGAGCTGCCCCTGGCTAGGTGGAAGAAGGCTTACCCAGTGCCAGCCAAAGAGCCATCTTGATGGAAGGCAATGTCATACACACCCATGCTGTGGCCTTCCTGATGCAGGATCTCCTCTTGAGCCTCCAAATCCCATAAGCGCCATGAGCGGTCATAGCTACAAAAAAAATCAAACCAACAATTAGCCAGCAGATATTCAATTCCCACAATGTGTAAAGTACTATAAACACTCGTAGCTTATATTATGCTTCTGATGAGGCGCCTGGGTGGCTCGGCCGATTAAGCATCTGCCTTCAACTCAGGTCATGATCCCAGGGTCCTGGGATTGAGCCCTACATCGGGGTCCCCGCTCCAAGGGGAGCTTGCTTCTCCCTCTCCCTCTGCCTGCCGCTCCCCTTGCTTGTGCTCGCTCTGTCAAATAAATAAATAAAAACTTAAAAAAAAAATTATACTTCTGAAACTATTTATACAACCATAGTAACAAATTCTTTTCTGGCATAAAAAAATACCTCAACAACTAAGCATATCTGTCTTGAGTGCTACCTGAAAAACCATGGACTTCCTATAAATTTATTTCAGTGGCTATTTTAAGAATACAATTCTCTAAGAATGGCCCAGCAGAGACTGTTGCCTTCTTTCTTTCTCAATTCCACTGTTATCACTCACTGAGTATTTGTTGGGCCTTCAAACTGGATGTTGGGGATACAAAAATCAGTCATGAGCAAATAGATCAATGCAAGAGATGAAAGAGTATAGGAAGAGACCCACACATCTTTGGTCAAATTATTTTCAATGAGGCCACTAAAGCAATTTCAACAGGGAAAACAAAGTCTCTTCAATAACCAGTGGTAGAGAGACGCCTGGCTGGCTCAGCTGGTGGAGCACGCGACTCATCTCAAGGTCGTGAGTTTGAGCTCCATGTTGGGTGTAGAGATTACTTAAATAAATAAAACTTACATTTTATTTATTTATCTATTTATTTATTTATTTAAAGAGGAAAAACTATGGGGGGAGGGAGAGAAATTTTTTTTTTTTTTTTTTTTTAAGATTTATTTGAGAGAGAGAGAGAACACAACAGGAGAGGGAGAGAGAAATTCCAGCAGACTCCTCCATGAGCCTGACTCGGGGCTCAATCCCATAACCCCAAGATCACGACCTGAGCCAAAACCAAGAGTCGGACACTCAACCGACTGCACCGCCCAGGGGCCCAGAGAGAGAATCTTCAACAAACTCCACACTGAGCATGGAGCCCGTTATGGGGCTCAATCTCACGACCATGAGATCATGACCTGAGCTAAAATCAAGAGTCGGATGCTCAGCTGACTGAGCCACCCAGGCATCCCTTAAATAAAAACTTAAAAAAAAAAAAAAACCCACCTCAATAAACCTCAAATAAACAAACAAATAAATACATGGTGGTAGAACTGTGTGTGAAAATAAAGAAAAAAAAAACCTCAATAAAAAAAAAATAGGTAAAGCATCCGGACACTGCACAAAAGAGGATTTACAAATGGTCAACGGTCAATTAAGCAGAGGATAAAATACTCAATACCAAAAGAGTCGTAAGAGTAATAAAAATTCAAACTATGAAATTTCACTATGCACTTGATACAATAAGCAAAATGATAAAACTGACACCACCAAATGCTGGTATGGATGTGAAGCAAGCAGAATTCTGGGAATGTAAAACTCACAACCAATCTGAAAAACCATACGGAAGTTTTAAAAAAGTTAAAAATACATTTACTCTATGACTTAGCAACTGCATTCCTGGGTATTCATTCGAGAGAAAGTAAAGAAAAACATGTCTGCAAAAAGCATCGTACAAGGGGCGCCCGGGTGGCTCAGTCGTTAAGCGTCTGCCTTCGGCTCAGGTCATGATCCCAGGGTCCTGGGATTGAGCCCTGCATCGGGCTCCCTGCTCAGCAGGAAGCCTGCTTCTCCCTCTCCCACTCCCCCTGCTTGTATTCCCTCTCTCGCTGTGTCTCTGTCAAATAAATAAATAATCTTAAAAAAAAAAAAAAAAAAAGCATTGTACAAGAGTATTTATAGCACCTTTATTCTGACTGACCCAAACCTGGAAACAGCCCAAATGTCTATCAAAGGAGAATGGATGAACTGTGGCAGAGCCATACAATTGAATACTCCTCAGCAATAAAAAGGAACTACTGATACATGCAACAACATAAATGAACCCATTTTTTTTTTTTTTTTTTTTTTCAGAGAGAGGGGGAAAGACAGAGAGTGTTAGAAAGAGAATCTCAGGCAGGCTCCACATCCAGCATGGCGCCCGATGCGGGGCTCAATCTCATAACCTTGAGATCATGACCTGAGCCAAAAGGAAGAATCAGATGCTAAACCGACTGAGCCACCCAGGTGCCCCTGAATGAATCTTAAAAACGTTATGCTGAGCAAAAAAAGGCACAAACAAGTTCACACAGTATGAACAGACAGAATTAATTTACAGTGATAGAAATCGTATCAGTGGTTGCTCTGGAAGGGGGAGTCCCCTGTGAAGGGGCATGAGGCATGAGGGAACATTCCAGGGTGATGGAAATATTCTATTGATAGGGATGTGGCTTATATGAGTGTATGCATTTGAATTGTACACTGAAATCTATTCCACTGCATGTAAATTATATCTCAGTTAAAGAGTTCTTTAACAGGGCGCCTGCGTGGCTCAGTCAGTTAAGCATCTGACTCTTGGTTCCTGCTCAGGTGACGATCTCAGGGTCTTGAGATCAGGCCCCGCATTGGGCTCTGCACTCAGCAGCAAGTCTGCTTGTCCCTCTCCCTCTGCTCCTTCCCCCACCTGCGCTCTCTCTCTCAAATAAATACAATCTTAAAAAAAAAAAAAAATTCTTGGGGCACCTGGGTGGCTCAGTTCGTTAAGCGTCTGCCTTCAGTTCAGGTCATGATCCCAGCGTCCTGGGATCGAGCCCCAGGTCAGGCTCCCTGCTCAGTGGGGAGTCTGCTTCTCACTCTCCCTCTGCCTCTCCCCTTGCTCATGCTCTCTTCTCTCAAATAAATAAAGTCTTTTAACACCAACAACAAAAAATCTTTAACAGTTTCTGGCCTTAATGAGCTTACAGAACCAGAAAGGGAGACCAATTCGTTTTATTTTTTTAAAGATTTTTAAGTAATCTCTACACCCAAGGTGGGCCTTGAACTTAACAACCCCAAGATCAAGAGCTGCATGCTCTATCGAATGAACCAGCCAGGTGCCCCAGAAAGGGAGACCAACTTGTAAGCAGAGAGATTACAATACAATGGTGCGGTGGAAAAAAAACAAAAACCAAAAAACCCACAAAACACCACTAGTATTGGTCAAGAAAGAGAAGAGTGAAAATTCTCGTTTTTTGGCAATTAGTAACTGAAATTTCAGATTAACTGCAGTTTAAAAGCAAATATAGTTGGCTCAAACTTTATCATATACTCTCTTCTTATTCTGATTCATTGCAGCCCAAGAAAATCCTACTTGAAGATTTCTGTTCTTAAAATTTTCTTGGCAGTTAGTCATAAGGGTTAACAAGATGCCACAGGCCTGTATGGATAGAACAGTAAGAGGATGGCTTACCAGGTGGTGCCCAAGAAACGCCCCGATGGATGCCACATTACACGGGCCACACGCACTGTATGGCCTTCAATATCCGCCACTGGTTCATCACTGATAAAGAACCAAATAGAAAGGAGTAAACTATTTTATAGTCATAAATATTCACTGAATTTATTAACTATTGTGACAGACGCACACATTCTGTAGGATTTAAGAGGCCAAATCCTAACTAAACTCACTGTTAAAAATGCAGGGTTAACAACAATTTATGTTACTTCCCAAAGTCTTAAAAGATTTGGGACTATTTTATGTGCTCACAGGGCAAAACTGCCCACAGCACTTCAAAACACACTACCTTGCTATATCTCAATTCAGTATGTTAATCAACGCTTAATGCTATTATCATTTAGGATTAGAGAAAAATAAAAGATAATTCAGCCTGACAAGCAAAATAGTCTCTTTACACCAAAGGAGTGCTGAGATTCTAGAAAGAAAACATATTTTAATAGGGATGTGAAGCTACAGAAATCAAATAGCTTTGGTACAAGTGGATTACAGATAAATTTGTCTCAAACTTTAGCTTGCTGAAGGATGCACACGAAAAAAGGAACTCCTAAATAGAGGCTTAGTTTTCTTTGGTGGCCATTAAATTCTATTCCCCAGCAACCACAGAAAAAAGAAATGAAACACCAGCGAAAGGAAGTAAACACGAACCCTAAAGAGGGCAATTAAAAAGGGAACTTTGTCAATGTGCATACATAGAGCTAATCAAAGCCCTAGGGGAACAAGTATTGCTAAGTGATACCAAAGCCAATTAAAACTTGCTGTGCTCAGAGGTTAAGACCCTGTCTGGCAAAGAGTACAGACGCTAATTATTTCTGTACAAAAACCTGGCAGAAAAGTCACATGTGCTTTCCCAAAGAAAGAAAACTAAGCAACTGAATTCAGATTTCTTTTAGCCAACAAAGAGCTTTCACAAATTTCCTGGAAAACAATAATCATAAACACATTAAAAAACCCCAAACTGCTGTAATGGGAAAATATGTTCTAGGTAAAGGAGGAAGCTGTTGGGAGGAGACATCACATCCTTAGCAATATTGCCTCAGAACTTCACTGTCCTCTCCCCTGTGGCCATTTGCTAGGAGCCAATGTGCTGCCAAGAATGTTACCTTTACTCAATCTACCAACTAGGGCTTTTCTCCAAATCAGTGTATTGCACAGGAAGTGTAAATAGATCTTTTCAGAATAACTGGACTGGGAAAACAATGGTTACTATGTTAGAGGCAAAAATCAAGGTCCAAAGTTAAAAAATAAGAAAAATCTGACGTAACTCCTCTGTTGAGAAAAGGTCGAAGAAAGAAATCCTACATTCTATGGTCACACCAAGTTCCCTTGACTCTTAGACCATCTCTGGGGTTAGATGCCAGATTCTCAGGTCCCAAGGACCAACCAAGCAACGCTTTAGTGACTGCAGTATGGGCAGAATAATCATGTTCACCTGTCAAGGCTCCAAAGCTTCACAGAACCATCAGCAGCACAAGAGGCCAGATTGACATCTTTCTGGTCCAAGGAGACAGTGGATTTTGGATGGAATACAATTGCTCCTACATTTGTGTTATGGCCTGAAGGAGTGTAAGAAATCAAAGTTAAAGGTTTCCCACCCCTTACAATTCATGTACAACACAGACTATGATGAATTAACACAATATACATTAGGAAACCTGTGGACAGATAGGGTATTGAAGTGACCGCTGAGCTATTAAAAAAAAAAAAAAGAACTATTTTAAATTAATATTTAAATTACATTTTTTAAAAAGAGCAAAACACAAACAACCTTTACTTTTTTTGGTTCAGAGATTGCACAATGCCAGAATGGGGCTGGACATGAGAGAAAAGTGACTTGTGTATAAACTCAGTCTTCCAGCCTTGTGGTGAGAACCAAACCACGACAATTCAAATCAAGAATTAATCTTGTGTTGGGGAACCTGGGTGGCTCAGTTGGTTAAGCATCTGCCTTTGGCTCAGGTTATGATCCTGGAGTTCCAGGATCAAGCCCTGCATTGGGCTCCCTGCTCAGCAGGGAGTCCGCTTCTCCCTCTGCCCTTCACCCCGCTCGTGCTCTCTCTCTCTCTCTCCCTCAAATAAATAAAATCTCTAAAAAAAAAAGAAGAAGAATTAATCTTGTGTGTACTGGGTCTGAGTGTCAGGCAGGTTAGTAGAGTTTTGCTGTTTGACAGGGTTCACACTGGGAAAACGAGATTTATTATTTATTTATTTGTGAGTAAAGCAATAGAAGTTTATTAAGTGAAGATACAGAAAAAGCTCTCAAGAGTGAGAGGGGTCCCAAAAGGGTTGCCCACAAGTGAGATTTAAACAAGATTCTAACTCACCTCGGAGAGTGTGAAGGAGGTTGCAATCGGGAACAGACCAGAGCTTGCAAAGCCCACTCCTATCAAATACAAAGGAAAGCATCTCAGCCAGGGTTGGTCTGGGAAGGAAAAGGTACCTTGGTAACATTCCTAAAGGACAATCTCTTCTCACCCCCAATAAACTTTACAGTGGTACACAGAAAAAGAAAACTAAAGGGCTTACAATTTGATGGTTTATAGAAGAAAGCTACACCCACGTCTCATGCAACCAGATGCCTCTACAGGACTATAGTTAATATAGTACAAGTTGCTATTCTCCCTAATGTTTGGATTGATTGGTGAAGGAAGGTAGGACGAATTAAACTATCCAAGAATAATATTATCTCCTTAAATAGGAATTCCATTTTGCTGCTTACAAAGTACTTAAATTTTTTTTAAAAAGACTTATTTCAGAAAATTTCCAACAAACTACTTTTATACCTAACAATTCAAATGATCCTTATAGTAGACCTGGGAGGTAAATATGTAGGAATAACCATTTCTACTTATAAGGAAGATAGCTGAGGCTTGCAGAGGTGAAGGGATTTGAGTAGGTCCTTGGCTTTCTCCTGAACCAATCTCAATTTCGACCCAGTCAAGTAGTTCCTGTGCATACAACATAAAGAAGCTTCCCTTGTCACTAGATGGCTATGTCCCACAAAAATAACCAAATAGAGCAAAACAACAAAATTATCACATCCTAAGAGCTTTCTGCATATGTGGTGGTAACTAGAAAAGAAAATAAAAGATAAAAACAACAATTCATGCTTACTGAGTCCTTACCACATACCATGCACTATTAAGGCAAAACGGTTTACAACATTATCTCTCCCTACTTTACAGATAAGGAAACTGAAGCTTACAGAGTATCTTGGTTACCTAACTAAAAAAGAAAAGCCGTACTGAGGTGTGGAAACTGGTCAGTCAATAAACTATGTATCTGCTCCAAAATGCTAGTGTCCAGAACATGACCGACATGTCATGGATCTCTGGGGTCCCTTATGAATAGAAAGAACTACTAAGCACAGACGATCTTGTATAATATAACGGGTGTATAATATAACTGGCATCTCTAGTTTGGTGTGATCATGAGAAGCAGAGAAAGGACACTGAAATGAGCATCCAAGACAAAAGCTGGTTTTTTTTTTTCCTTGAACCTGTCCTCCACTTAGGAAAAATATCACTGTAAAAACAGAACTTACCAACAAGCTGTGGCCAGCATTTTGGAATTAGGACTAAAGTGGCAGTAGGAGATAGGCCGATCATCCCCAATCTGACTGCAGAAATTATTCAAAGACTCAAAAAAAGGAAAAAAAGGACAAATAGTAATCATCAATAGGCTAATCCCAAAGACCCAACCTTCTAGTTTTAGCCCACCCCTCAAGACTCTTCTATACTTTTTTTTTTTTAAAGACTTTATTCATCTGGCAGAGAGAGACACAGCGAGAGAGGGAACACAAGCAAGGGGAGTGGGAGAGGGAGAAGCAGGCTTCCCACTGAGCAGGGAGCCTGATGTGGGGCTCGATCCCAGGGTCCTGGGATCATGACCTGAGCCGAAGGCAGACGCTTAACGACTGAGCCACCCAGGCGCCCCTATACTTCTCTTGTTGCTCAGAGACACTTATGTTCATGAATGGAACTCCAGCATGCTGTCTTTTACACTAGTAGTATCATTACTTTTGCTGTCAGCTCAACGTACACAGGAAAGCCACGGAGAGAGCTAAAGTACAGCTTTGACATATTAAAAGTGAATTAAAAAGCAGAACCAAAGGCCTCTGCTGAGTACCAACCACAGTAGGTTCCTGCCACCCTAGCTGATGGCTCTTCCCAAACAGCAAGTGTAAGCAGGGAGGGATAATCATAGCTGCCTTTACCTTCCAAGAGGCAGGCCAAAGTAGGAAATCTAATGAATATTTAAGAGCCCTTACTATATTGGACAATCACTGAGAGCATCTTACCCGGAGAGATTTATGCAGCTCTTGCATCTGGGACGTCCTGGTTGTCTCAGGAATCTCTTTATGGAGACGAGCCTCTTCCAAGCGTTTCATTGCCCTGTGACACAGATGATTACCATGAGCAAACAGGTTGAGAAAAAGGTCCACACGAGTATCCCTACCACTCAATTTTCATTTAACCAGTCTTTCTAAAACAGATCCTCCATCCTTGAGAGAAAACAAGAAAAAAATATGCTTCTTTCTCCTTCTAGAGGCTCTCTTTACCTGGGCAGTGAATAATTAGCAATCCATAGTCTAGCGACCTTCAGGCTGTTTGGTCCTTCATGGTACCAGGTTTGCTGATACTGAAAGTGAAATTAAGAGCAGAAACGTTAAGTCTGAAGCATTCCTGCCCTTCTCATAGCTGTCAATTCTCTATTGTAACCGCCCAGAAAAAAAGGTGAATTAGTTCAGTAATAGGATGAAATCAGGCATGTGTGCTTTCTACTGTGTTTTTATGAACTCTTATTGGATGGCTTCCTGTTCCTTGTTAAAAGTTACACCAGGAATGCTATGTTTTTTTCCTGAATGGGAAAACCACTTACCTTCACTTATACCTACATAGGAACCAACAACTATTCCTGAATGGTGGAATCCTCAAACACATTCCCTTCCCCTTGGCAAAGCAAAACCCAACAACAGAAAATGAGAGAACTAACCCCTCATTTCCTTCACTTTCATACTGTGAAACCAAAGACATATTTTACCTCTTCTTTGGACTTCTTAGATTTCTCATCATCTTTTTTGGTCTTTTTTAAGGCATCAGTACCAACCACTGAGAGGATATTTCTTAACCTGTAACAAAAAAGATTAGAATTTAAATGGAGTTGAGATAAGACTGTGAAAAGTGTGTCTATGGTGAGACACAACAAAAGTTGTCCTATCCTCTCACTATTTAAATGCCAAGCAACCTTCTTTAAGAGTCAAGTTGTCATGCCTAAACTCCCAGTGTGGTTTTTTTTTTTTTAATTTCTTTCTTTTTTTTTTGTTTTTTAAGTAACCTCTACACTCAGTGTGAGGCTGGAACTCACAACCCTAAGATCAAGCGTCATATGTTCTTCTAACTGAACCAGCCAGGTGCACCTCCAGTGTGATTTCATTCACCCAGTCTTATCTGAAGATTCCCTAATTAGAACTATAAGCAATTACCCTATTCAATTTATTTATTTTTTTTAAGATTTTATTTATTTATTTTGAGAGACAGAATGAGAGAGAGAGAG